CTCAAGGTAATCTCCCGAAAGAAAGAACCGAAGGCATGACGCCATTTGATGTAGTAGGTGTGGATTACGCCGGACCTATTTATTACCGCAGCAAGAAGAATGAAGATAAGTCGTACATCCTCATCTACACATGTTCCTTAACACGAGGACTCCACCTGGAACTTTTACCGAATTTAAGTTGCGAAGAGTTTCTGGCAAGTTTCAAGAGGTTCGTTGCAGTCCGAGGACGACCGAAGAAGATGATCTCAGATAATGGGAAAACTTTTCATGCAGCGTCAAAGTGGATTAAGAAAGCAACCCGAGATGAAAAGTTCCACGCGTTTCTGCAAGATCATAAAATCCAGTGGCAGTTTAACTTAAGCAAGGCAAGCTGGTGGGGCGGCTTGTTTGAAAGAATGGTTGGATTGGTGAAGAATTCACTTTACAAAGTTGTTGGTTCAGCTAAACTCACTTACAAAGAGTTGCAAGATGTATTATTGGACATACAAATAGTACTGAATAACCGCCCTTTAACGTATTGTGAAGATGACGTGCAACTTCCGGTTCTCACACCAAACCTCCTGATATTGGGAAAAGCAAATTATCTACCGGGTGGCCCAAAAAAAAGTACTCCTGTTTGATTTATAATAACTTCTAAACAAGTAAAGCTATCAAACAGAAATAACTTGCATTAAATAGAGGAAGGACTAACTTAGATTTTGATATGTTACAGTTGTATTTTACTTAAAAATTCACGGAGATATTAATGTTAAAAATCGGGAGCATATTTTGGGATGTGTCTAAAATTAGCGAAAATCGGCGTATCAAATTTTCACTCCAGCGTTTGTTTGCTTAATGACATATCAGGGTAAATTGTATTTCAGCGAATTGTCGTTAGGGTTTGTAAGGGATATGGCGTAGATTTAGACATCTTACATGCAAGTCTTAACTTATTGTTTCCTGAAATATGAACGTTCGAAATTATGTAAGTATTTAATAGGTCTTTGCAAACTTAAGGTACTGAAAGACCATGCAAGGCAGGCGCTTCAATTTTTCTTAAAATAACCTATTTTTATGTTTTTCATGGGTTCAAAACAAAGTTGATTATTTCTCGGTTAGAGCAGGATTAATAGATATAATAATACTTTGTTTCATAATAAACAATTTGTCAAGTGTCATTTATTTACTGGTAATAGTGCATGTTTCAGTCGGGCAAATCTTGATTAATATTTGATACGCCGATTTTTGCATATTTCGGACACATCCAGAAATATCCTCCCGAATTTAAAGATTAATATCTCCGTGAATTTTTAAGTGAAATACAACTGTAATATATCAAAGTCTAAGTTAGTCCTTCCTCTATTTGATGCAAGTTATTTCTCTTTAAAAGCTATACTTGTTTAGATGTTATTACGAATCAAACAGGAGTACTTTTTTTGGGCCACCCGGTATTAGAGTTGCCTGTCGAAGAAATTGAAGAAGACGATCTACGAAGGAGAGCAAAACATTTAAAGAAGTGTAAAGATGCGTTATGGCGTCGTTGGCGAAATGAATACACGAGAGCACTTCGAGAGAGACACGATTTACGACACCACGGGAAAAGCGCACGATTGCAAGAAGGCGATGTAGTTCTTATCAAGGGCGATGAAAAGAACCGAGGCAAGTGGAAGATTGGAATCGTGGACAAACTAATACCTGGAAGAGATGAAATCGTGAGAGCGGTGAGACTGCGTGCAGGAAAAAGTTACCTCGAAAGACCTATTCAGTTTCTATATCCAATGGAGCTACACTGTGAAGCGAAGAAACAAAATCAAGGAGAACTGAATCCCGAAGCCGGAGAGTTTAGACCAAAACGAAGAGCAGCGGTTGAAGCATTAAGGAATATTCATCAGATGCAGGAGACTGAAGAGGACGGTGACTAATAACTTTGCATGGGTATAAGTAAAACTGTAAGTGACTTGATAAAGCGAACAACAGTTAGTCAAACTTAGTCAGTTTATATTTCAAATAAGGATTATTTAAAATAGGGGGAGTGTGTCGTGAACGTTTATACAGTTACATTTATAGATCAGTAGTGTTAATATTATTAAGGAAATGTACAATTTGATTGACACTTCGGATATAGTACATAACATGTGAGCGAGCGTTGATTTTAGAACGGGAATTATAACTTAAACAAAACGTGATATTATAAAGTCTTTACTTCTTCGAACCGATTGTGGGAACCAAACTAAACTTCACCACAACGCTGCTCGCTTCCCTGCGTCTCCACTGAGTTCATTCTGGACTTTATGGCAATACGAAGAACGTTCATAATTGCGATAATTGCGAATTTTCATCTTGAAATCAAGTCCGGGTGTTGCGTTTTTCCAAATTTCAGTCGAATTCTGAGTCCATCATTCCATATGTCCAGTTCATGTTTGTCCTATGCCTTACGGGTACAAGGAACGAATCGCACGTGTAAATTGTTCTGGAAGAGGTCCCCATGTAAGTTCCAATTTAAAAGAGCGCAATCATTAGTTAAACAACGATTTAATCCTACTGACCGTGTACTGACGTACTCAGCAAAACAAACCGACTATTACAAGGGCAATTGATAAAACTAGAATAGTGAAGCGAATAGTGTGAATAGTGCGAATAGTTGACGAATAGTACGAATAGTCCGCGAATAGTCGACGAATAGTGCGAATAGTCCGCGAATAGTCGACGAATAGTGCGAATAGTCGACGAATAGTACGAATAGTCCGCGAATAGTCGACGAATAGTACGAATAGTCGACGAATAGTGCAATAGAGACTTTGCAAGGCTTTCCACCGTGCTGCAGAACTAAATTTACCGGGGCGGGGGGGGGGAGGCTCTATTGACAAACATGAAATCGTGAAAACATTCGTTGATGTCAATGACGTCATACGTAATCGGTAAAAATTACGGGACCACTGAGTTTTAACAAATATTTAACCAATCACATTGCCGAAATTTGGTTTTCGCTTCGGGCGAACAAATTCGCCCAAAAACGGGCTTAAATAATAAATCGATACCTTCTCTTGTTTCGTGATGTAAATCACGTTTTCCAAGCACACGAAATCACTTAAGCCCTTAAATCTTCAGTTACAACGTCACAACTTACAAGTAAAATTCCTATAAAATTCCATCAGTAAAATTCATGACTCATATGGTTACCACTTACCATCAGGAATGATTATAAATTAAAAAAACATGAAATATGTTTCCTGACGATGACTGAATTTTAGTCGAAAGCTAGAATATTAAAATGTTTATTTTCGAAGTTACCGTTGTTTTATATTTTATTAAAATACTCAGTGGTTCCCGTAATTTTACCGGTTACGTATGACGTCATTGACGTACGTCAACGAATGTTTTCACGATTTCATGTTTGTCAACAGAGCCCCCCCCCCCAGTAAATTTAGTTCTACAGCACTGCTGTAAAGCCTTGCAAAGTCTCTATTACACTATTCGTCGACTATTCGTACTATTCATCGCCTATTCGCGGACTATTCGTACTATTCGTCGAGTATTCGCGGACTATTCGTACTATTAGTCGACTATTCGCAGACTATTCGCACTATTCGTCGACTATTCGCGGACTATTCGTACTATTCGTCGACTATTCGCACTATTCGCTTCACTATTCTAGTTTTATCAATTGCCCTATTACAAGTTACTTGTTGATGAGTTTAATGCAAGTTATGTTGTTATCTGCAATACAATTTTGACAATAATTATGAATGCCTTAAAATTGTCATTCCATAAAATGATGCAATAGTTGCGCGCACCCCAGCGTGATGCCCTTGCACTAATTCAAATCAAGGTCAAGGTACAGTGATCAAAGATAACTACAATGCCGTAAAGAATATTGGTGCTAAACTCTGCGAAATTCGCAACAATCCATACCGTAAGTAGCTTCTACTTTTAGTATGACTATGTCAGTTATATAAATAAATATCGCTTAATTGACCGCTAAGGCGTTGAAAGATTCGCAATATGCTTGCCGATTTAACTGAGAAGATAAGACAAGAATGAGAGAGATAAACTCATTCCCGTCTTGTTTTAACTCGTATCCTGAGTTTCAAGATGCTAATCTCGATCGATCCGGATCATGTTTTGTCTTATACTTTTTGAAATTGTCACCTGCCATTGGTTTTTGCCGATTTATAAGACAAGGGGAAATAATAAGTATATATAGTAAAGGGTGGTCATGGCAGCAAGCTGCGTTTTGCATCGTTTTGCTCAGTGTTTGTCGAAATATCAAACAATCTGCGGCGGTGCGGGCTTCAATGCCTTATATAAGTATCTAAATCTTTGTGGTGATTGTCAAATGCGCTATGTATAACCAAACTAAAAAGCGCGCTTGCATGGTCTAGCTATTTGCAGTATATACCCTGTAAAACCGAATATAATTGATGCACGGCGTTACCATGAGAATAATCAGCTTCTTTTCAGAGGGTGTCACCTTGCTGTCATTACGGGGAAATGGGCGGTGTATTTGCTTTGATAATCGACCCCGCCAACTTTCTTCATAATTAATCGGTGGGGCCACTGTGATCCCCACGTCATTTTAATTACGTAATTCTTACGAAATCAAAATCAAAATGGCGACCATGGAATAGCGTGCAAAAGTTCGCTATTGTATACAGCTATTTCAATTAAGGTTGTCCACGAGCAAAGCGCAATAGTCGAATACGAGCGCGATTTAATAAATAAACTAGGGTAGGGATTGCTGCGGGCATTAAAAGCAAATAGAACTACAGTAAACAGCACAAATTATATCAAGCACAGTGATTACTCGCAGCGACTAGTGAGCTGTGAATGGAACTGAGAAGAAGCAATGATATTGTAGCAGCAAAGACCAGGGGTTAAAGGGCAATCAGAGGTGACAGATATTAAGAGCGACTGTCCGTAAAAATCGAGCAAACAGTGGCAATAGATGAAAAATAGATTTCTTTCATATTTTGCTCAAATTTAGGTAATACCTAGTTATAAATGGTGTTTGGGTTAGATTTTCAATATTTGGTCGATAAACGTACAAATATCAGAAATCAAGAATTTGTCTCCGGAAGGCTATAATTAGCCGCAGACAAAGCCGTTGCCATGGTCAATTTCATTACTTCGCGACAGATTCAAAACTGCCCGTAGATAGTTTTGATGGTTTAATGACTATAATTCAAGTATTAAAGAACAATTTTATCAATATAGAATGGCCCAGGAGGCTTTAACTGGCCTGACAGACGTTGAAATTGGCTATTTTTAGTCAAATTTGAGAATTGCATTTTGTCACTGGATTTGAAGGGGAAATTTACTATGTGCGATATTCGTGAATTTGTTTATATTTCATCCACGGAATGGTATAGCATGAGTACATGTTATATATAAAAACTAGCTTGGGTTATTGCCTTGGAGCCTCACGTGAGACTTTTAAAAAAGCTCATTTTGGTGATTTCCAGTGGAATGTAACACAATTAAATCATTAGGCCCATACGTCTATTCACGAAGCTCAAATTGTTCAAAACTTTGAATTTTGTTTTTCGATATCAATGTATATGCTTTGTATACTTTATTAAGAATCGTTTAGAAGGATTTTCAATATATTTTAGTGATAGCTAGGCCTACTTACAACAAAAGCACAACAAATCATCATGTCATTACTAGACTGTAACGTTGCTATTTATAGCAATTCGCGTGTTGTTACTGAATGTATATTTTAATAATATGTCTGCAGTCTGTAAGCTTTTGAAGTCTTATAATCAGTTCTCATTTTTGTTTAATGCTTTCTCTGCATATGTAAACTAATAGAATTAAAGCTAGGTAAATACAATAAAACGGTACATAAGTTGGAACATGTATATATGTTTACACTTTACGCTAGACATTTTTCTGGACTCTCCTGTTACGAAACTAACAAACAGGTAGCCTGATAACAGACCTACGTTTCACCCGCCCTAAAATTCGTCGACGGAACGGGCGAAATATAGGTCTGATGAAAATGTTGTCAAAAGCGCCTTCCGCCCACTTTGCATTTTGCAATAATTAACAACGATGATTGACACATACATGTAATGCCTAAAAATACAATGAAAGTTGTCGATTTCACTTTTGTATTGCAAAGTTTGTAAACTAGTAAGAGCACAGGGAGCCCATCCCGGGTCTTATTGAAGTTATGTATTAGAATTACGTATGAAATATATAGCTCAGTGTTGAAGCCTGCGACTTGCGGGCTGTGTGCGGGCTAAGCATGTGTTGAATGCTTAATAAAGGAAAAAATAAAGGGATGAAACATCAACGAGTGCCTGGAAGCATGTGTTCCATAGGTTGCTATGACATTGAGAAATTATCGATTTAAGTTTCTATAAATTTCAACAAAAGAACTTCTTTCATAAATTACCTTTCTGATTACAAGCTTGTCATATGCAACTAATTTGGAAAATCCAAAAAATATTGCGGTTTACTGGTTAGTTAATTCACATATTTTTTGAAATTCTCACGGCCGGCTGATCGGCCGATCACTGATTTTGAAATTTTGTTTTGTATGTGTCTAAAATTTTATATGTGTTTTATATTCGAATATGCCAACAGCTAATAACAATACTATTTAATATTTTCCATATGATTTTAGACATCTGTGGAGTGTGTAGTAGGAAATAAGTAAGCATTTAAGCATGTCATAGCAACCTGTGGAACACATCCAGACATTTCCAACCATACACTGCTGTGCGATCAATCGAAATATTTCTCCTCGTTAGCAACTATTTGGAAGGTTTTGGCTAGACGATATGAAAGAACAGGCCCTAGAGGACCTTACAACGTAATAAAACTCTGACCTTTTTATTTAAACACACTGATACTGTGCTTTGAATTCTGGGCTTCCAGGCACTCGTCGATGTTTCATCCCTTTATTATTTTCTTTATTGTGTATTCAACGCGCACGTTAGCCCGCACACAGCCCGCAAGTCGCAGGCTTCAACACTGAGCTATATATTTCATACGTAATTCTAATACATAACTTCAATAAGACCCGGGATGGGCTCCCTGTGGTAAGAGTCGATAAGTACAGATATTCGAATAAATATTTAAAATATTGGTAACCCCATGGAGTCTGTTGCTTTTAACCTTTGTAAACAAACAGTTACAGCTAGTAATAATACAACATTTTCAACAAATTCTATAAATGTGATAAAATCTGCCTACGCAAATTTGGCAATGGCCAACTAACTGCCTCGCGAGGCGGTTAGCTCAGCATGTAGCTCTCGTATGCGGATAGTTTTTTGACCTCACGAGGCCTTGAGGAAAATATCTATCGTGTTTGACATTTTTCGCCTCGCGAGGAAAAAATCTCAGCGTCTCCGGATGTTGTGAGCTAAGTGCTGAGCTGTTTGAATCCAATTAGCCAATGACAAACCATGGTTTCTTCATGTGACATGGAACAAAATGGAGGAAAATGCAAATAATTTTGTTAATTATGTTGTTGTTGAGTAGTTTTCCCAACGTGTGCGGTGAAAATACATAGCTGAGCTAACCGCCTCGCGAGGTAGCCTGCGTGCAGTCCCAGTTCCTTTGGAGTCTGGGACTGCACGCAGGCTACTCGCGAGGCGGTTAGCTCAGCAAGTTGCTCTCGTGTGCAGCAGGCTTTACAATTTATACATTTTGAAATCACCATACAATGATAAAATCAATATATAATATTTTGTGTGTACTATGTTATCATGAATGCGCACATATTTGTATCCCAGTTTTATTATGATTTATAATCACAAAACTTCGGATCGTGTAAAAATTATATATTGTAATGTTTATTACAATGGAAAGATACAACGCTGAAGTATTTGACACGTACTGCTCTACTCCCCTCTACTGGCTCTAGTTTTCATTTTAGACGGTAGATACTGATCATAGACTAGTTGTCGTTCGACCACAGGCGGCCCAATCTCTGAACGTCCTATGTATTTTGAATATTTAACCGTTATTATATTTTAAAATAACAAAATAATTCAAAAAATATTAACAATATATGTAAAAAATATATCTCACTTGTTAGTATAATCCATTTGTTGTGTTTCTGAGTCTAGTTGATGCGATTGCTTTACGTTTTCGTCGTACTTGAACGGTCATCAGTACTATGGCACTGGACGACATGGCCGTATAGGACATAAATAACTACAAGGCTAGCCACTTATCTGATATACTCTCCGACATCGAGTCCAATATCTCGCCTCAGAATCGTCGCAGAGCAATAAATTTCACATCGTCTAATAGCACGAACGTTCCTCTTTCGAAAGAACTTGGTTTCTTCACCATTGCGGCAATTCCCGCGACACACGACGAACTTTGTTTGTCAAAAGTCCAAATTTCCATTTTCGACAGACGCGCTAACCCCATGATCGTCGCCACGAGAGCTGCTCAGCAACCTGGCCTCCTCGTTTGAAAACATTCCATCAGGGGGGGAGGAGCTGGACTGGAATGAGGGGGCTTTCAAAGCAACACGATAAAACACACGATATAAATGTTTAATACTTGTTCATTGTCGAATACAGCATGATAAAGTAATAATTTCTATTTATATCGTGTGTTTTATCGTGTTGCTTTGAAAGCCCCCTCATTCCAGTCCAGCTCCTCCCCCCTGATGGAATGTTTTCAAACGAGGAGGCCAGGTTGCTGAGCAGCTCTCGTGGCGACGATCATGGGGTTAGCGCCTCTTTCGAAAATGGAAATTTGGACTTTTGACAAACAAAGTTCGTCGTGTGTCGCGGGAATTGCCGCAATGGTGAAGAAACCAAGTTCTTTCGAAAGAGGAACGTTCGTGCTATTAGACGATGTGAAATGTATTGCTCTGCGACGATTCTGAGGCGAGATATTGGACTCGATGTCGGAGAGTATATCAGATAAGTGGCTAGCCTTGTAGTTATTTATGTCCTATACGGCCATGTCGTTCAGTGCCAGTACTGACGACCGTTCAAGTACGACGAAAACGTAAAGCAATCGCATCAACTAAACTCAGAAACACAACAAATGGATTCTATTAACAAGTGAGATATATTTTTTACATATATTGTTAATATTTTTTTAATTATTTTGTTATCTTAAAATATTATAACGGTTAAATATTCAAAATATATAGGACGTTCAGAGATTGGGCCGCCTGTGGTTCGACATCACAGAATATTTAGAATATTACACTGTATGCCAGCCTAGACCTAGGCCTTCTATTTTTATTTATATATTTTTAATATTCAGCGCTTTTTCACATGAAAAGACTGGGACTAGGTGATTTGGGGGCGGGGCGGAGGAAGGACACAAGCCTGACGCAAGCGGAAAAATAGAAGGCCTAGTGGATTTCCCAACAACGAGGCCAAAACTGCCCTGAAACTGCCCTGATTGCGAAATGCTCAATTGTTGCGTTCTCAAACAGAATTATTTGCAACTTAACAGCGAATTTAAACCGATACAGGTAAATCAAACTCATTTATAGTATAAACTTACTATTTTTATTTGTATACACGTTTAGAAAATCGGGTTTTTTATCATAAAGTTTGAAGCAACACTATTATTATGTTGATAAGGTGAAGCGAAAGCACAAAATAATAATTCTTTTCTTCGCAAGACAATCTACTGTTTTGCTTTGAATAACTATATTTTCGAATTGGGAATGAGGATTTTGAAATTATTGTTCAAATATTACGGATATGCCATTTGTAAACAATGTACGTTTTTATATACAGTACTGTACGGGTGCACAAATGCTGCAATCCGTGCACAAATTGGTGCACAACTTCCCCAATAATCCCTCTTTGTGCACATTGGTGCACACAATTTCCTTCTGTTATTGGTGCACAAAAAATTTGGATTTTCACAACGTACGTTATCTATATA